AAAAAAAAAAAAAAAAAAAACATACATGTACATATATATAAATATAAATGTTTTTACACAGGGCAGGCTGGATCATGTCTCTTTATCAATTAAATCCAGAGGGTTTCATTTGTATATGAAAGACCGTGATAAGTTGTCACATTTTTACTTAAAGAAGTCATGACTGTAAAATGGCTATTTAACACGTTATTTAGCCCGGTTCTGTCAACACTGCACTGGCTCCCTATGACACTTAAGTTCCAGCGATATTGTCGACTTGATTGCAGATACTATTTAAACAGAACTGAGCTGGACGATGACATCACTGAATTCAATGATGAACAGCCTTTAACTGAAAATTGAGTGTTTACTATTGCCATATTGCATTATTGACACACTATTTTCGTATTTGATACTGTACAGTTGCTTTGACACAATCTGTATTGTTAAAAGCGCTATATAAGTAAAGGTGACTTGACTTGACACGTCCATTATTAGTGCATGTTGTCACAGTGTTATTTTAGTATCATTGATATAGTATAATTTTGAAATTATTGTTATTATTATTATTATTTTTTTATTTTTTTTTATTTATTATTTTCTGTTTTTTCCCCCTATTTTTTAGTTTTTGTAATTTTATCAGATTTATTTTAATTTTTTTTACAATATGTCTGTATAGGTCTTATTCCCCCGGTTTCACAGACAAGGCTTAAGCTAGTTCCAGACTAAAATGCAGGTTTGAGCTGTCTCAACTGAAAATATCTTGCTCTGACATATCTTAAACTATGTCAGTGCCCTTGTTCTTTGTCAAGATTCACACCTGTAACGTTTTCTTCTAAGGCATTTTTGTAAAAACTGCTTAAATATCTTAATTTAACCAAGGCCTAGTCCTGGCTTAAGCTAAGCCCCATCTGTGAAACCGGGCCATGAAGTTTTAATTTTTAGTTTTAGTTGAATTATTTTGCTATTTTACCACTTAAACTAAAAAAAAATGAGTAGCCTTGGCAACTAGCAGAAATAAAATGGTAAAACCCTGAAATTAAAAAAAATAAAAAATTTTGTTTCAGTTAATATTCATTTTATTTCAAGTAATGAAATGTATTTTTATGATTTTAGTTAGTTAACGATAATAATTCTGAATGTAACCTCCCATTAAACAACCTAAGTTTAACCAATAAAACATATGAAATACAAAATATTTCAGTAAACAGCAGAAATGTAAGACAAAAGCGTTTTAAACCAACATGCAAAAGAAAACAAGCATTTGTTTTTGTTTTGCTCAAAACCTTCTTTTGTGTGACAACTAGCCCCGGTCTCCTCTAAACACTCCAGCTGCCAGTTCTTATGTTTATGTGACAGTTTGTACAGCAGCTTTGACTGTAGTGGTGAGAAAAGGAAATGTAAGAACGTATAAGTGGTCACATCGCTCACAGACGATGGTTGTGTTCATCTACACCGCTGCCATTTGTGGGAGTTCTGGTGGGAACGCAGAGTCCTGATAGCCCGCTAATGGAGCTGCTTTCTGTCTGAATTGGCTGAAATTACACTGCATTGGTCTATCTCTCCTTCACTTATTACTGCCGTCCTCATTAAGTACGGAATGAGATCTCTCTCTCATGCACACACGCTCGCACAAATGGGATGTCACAGTATATTTCTCTTTCTATTCATCTCATCTTCAACCTCACCTGCTACCAGCTACAACCTCTTGTTCTCTCTGACTCTGATGTGGCTCCATACGCTGGATGTCGGCCTGGTTTCCTCTTTGTGTTCTCAGGGTTGTGACGTCGAGGATGATTTCTGAATGAATGTTTTTGCAGCTTATTTTTCATTCAGTGGCGCTTTGTAAATGCATGAATATATTTTGTCTGACTACTTAAATCAAGGACAATCTTTTCCAGATATACACTACTAGTTAAACATTTGAAATAAGATTTTTACATTTTTTTAGCAAGACATCTC